ACATCCCCCCCCTACTCTATAAGATAAATATAACCTCAGATTTTCTTTAATGTATCACCAATTACTAAGTTGGTGCAATTCAAAAACAGAGAAGCTGCGTAATCTTGTAGCTGAATCAATAAACTAGATTAGATCATCAGTCTCTGTTATTATAGCACTATTATAGCAAAACCTCTAACATCTTTTTCATCCTGTCCATTGAGCAAGAGAGTTCATAGGCACACATAAAACAACAAAACATTTAAAGTTGTGAAATCAGATGGGCTTCAGAATGAAATATATGAGAGGCTTTATTGAAACACATAGGACCAATTTACCCATCACAATAAATCAGATTTTGTTGACTTTGGGCCTGTTTTAATCTAGCAATATACTGGTAGACACTACCATGTGGATGTTCTTCCTACCAGAAGCATTTAAACAAACCAGGGAATCACTGTTCATTTTCCCTGCTATTCTTCAATGGTGTGTCTTATCTTGTTTTTCCCCCAAACAAAAATCAAAAGATAAAATTTATTCTTATAAGGTTCTGGCTCATAAGAATACCAATCAATGGATTTCTCTATGAACATAAGTTTTAACAGATTGTTACGACAGATTCCATGGATCATTTTAAGGGACACTGAGTAGTATACACCAGACATTTACTTCATCCCAGTGGTAATTAAATGATAATGGATCACAGTGTTTTACTTCTATCACAAATCTATAGCATAAATTCCAAGATATCAAGCGGTTCACTTTACTCAGCATCATGCTAGAATCACAAATAGGCACCCTTATTATTTTCACACTTGGAGAGAACTTTCTCCATTGCAATTACATACCATTGCTCAAAACACCCTTTAAAAATTTGCTTTTTTGTGTTTCTGTGAAAATGATAATACCTCAAACCTTCATGAAAAATCATGATACACCAAGGTCTCTTGCCATATTGTCTCACATGAATAATGCATGAGAGGATCTCATATCTATTCCTTTTGCCACATGGTGGCTCAGTGGTTAGAATGCAGCATTACAGGCAAATTCTAGCCACAGCCTGGAGTTCAATCCTGACGGGGCTCATGGTTGACTCAGCCTTCCTCCTTCCAAGTCGGTAAAATTAGGACCCCAATTGTTGGGGGCAAGATGAAAATAATGCTTACATTGCAAACCATCCAGACAGCAATGTAAAGCGCTATGGGGCAGTATATAAGTTTAAATGCTACTGCTATAGAAGCACATTCACTAGTCTAATTGCAAGTAAATGAAAACAACCATCTAGCTTAAATGTCAGATACTCACTGGCACAATCATCCCATCTTTCCTTCAGAAAGAGAAAATAAATATTCATCAAAAGCATGATTATGGAAAGCTGGGCCAAGGGTTCTAGATAGTCCATGGTTTTTTTCCCCCAGTTTTGACTTTCTGATAGGAGCCTCCCTTCCTTCTTTCTTCCTCAATACAAGATGCTAAACTTTTTTCCCCTCAAAATGTACTATTAGTCCGTCCAGCAAAGATTTCAGTCAATCCATCAAACCTGTTTCCTGAAGAATATCCTTGTAATGGGCCACTCCAACTTGAGGGCTAAAGGCCACCTGGCTTTCATTTCATGTGGAACTATTTAATTTATAGAACAATCTGTTTGACTACAATGATGAACGCACATGTCTTCTTAAAATGCCTCCTGGGGTATTCCTTCTTGTTCCCATTTCTGTAACCATAGTAACTTGGAGGAGAAACAGTTTTTGTTCTTCCTCTCAGAAATTGTTTCCAAGGGATAATGGTTTTAACTCTCATTTGTCCTACAGCAATTAACTTTTGACTTACTCTGGGTCCCAGTGCAGAACTTTCAACAGACAGGATAACTTTTTCTCTTGCTTCATTGTTAATATTCTCTTGATGAATATTGGCAGCACATATTTCAGAAGCTGGCTGGACTTTTCAAAAAATTTAGAATACTAAAAAATGGCCAAGAAAGTCCACCTCTGAATGCAGTGAAAAGAATCTATGAAAGTTCCATCTGCTTTAACCTATTTTTCCTCATTTATTTTTGAACATGGACAGGATATTGTTTTATTTCTATTTCTCCAAATTTCTAAACAAATATACTTGCTATAAATAATCTAAAATGACAAGGAAGGAAACAGTCCTTTCTCCTAAGGACTAATCATATAATGATTTAAATGAACTATAGCTAATACACTAGTGATCCATTATGAATAGCATATATTACAGTTGTCAAAAAGAAATTTCAGTCAATTAATTACCAGAACCTTAGTTAATTACATTTGCATGCATATCTCCACAACCCTCATATTTCATATGACAACTAACTGTCTTCTTTTGGCTTTATTGTTATATATGATGTACTTTAATGTTTGTTAATATTAATGTTTGGTCTAGTGGTTATAGCATCAGGCTAGAAACCAGGAGACTATGAGTTCTTCTCCTGCCTTAGGCACAAAAGCTGGCTAGGTGACCTTAGGCCAGTCATTTTCTCTCAGTGCAACTCTCTTCACAGGGTTGTTGTTGTGGAAAAAATAGGAGGAGGAGGAGGAGGAAATATTAGGTATGTTCGCTGCCTTGAGTTACTTATAACAACAATAAAGGTAGGATAAAAATAATAACTTTTTAAAGCTATTTTTAAATCCTGAATAGGGATTTACAAAGAAGTATATTTCCTCTGAATACGAAAGTTAATACTTTTCATCTGGATCTGAGGGAGAATGGGAGAAAGAGGCAAAGCAAAGTCCAGTGATGATCACAAGACTGGTCTCATGATGAAAAATTGTATTGTTAAATCTGAACCAGTAGGAAATAGACCACCTCACTCATTTTGCTTTTGTGCTAAAAAGCAGTTGAGTTCAAAATACTCTGATCTGAGCTCAGAACACTTTCAACATGTTAGAAACAGAATGCTTTTCATTAAAAAAAGCTCTTTTATACTTAAAATATCAAATCTGAAATGTTTTTCACACTCTTAGACGTTTCTGTATATTCTTCCAATTTTTTTTGGAAAGAAAGGACTCACTTAGTTCCCCTATTATGCCCTCAACTATCAATATATGGAATAAAAATAATTACTTATGGTGGCAACATTCCACATTCAGGTATAGAATTTCAGGCATTTTTAACAAATATACAATAATAAAGTATGTTAGTATTTGGGTTCTACATCTTAAGACCTTGTCCATTGAACCCTTTACTCTTCTGATCGTCTAGGATTCAGTTGGAGATAATCTGAAGAACAGTTAGATTCACATTTGTTTAAAGTTGAGCATATCTCTTTGCCTGATTTGGGATTTTGATAAAGCCGATTACTAGACTATGCAGAAAGCTCATTCATGCAAATACAAAATAAGCTCCAATAAAGATATAGCATATGATTCCTCAACCCTCATACTCCATTCAGGCCAGAATTTAAGAATTACTTCAGAAAGCATTTCAGATCTTGCCCCCACTCCCTTTGATCTTGAATTAAATTTGCATAATTGTAGTCTGCTTTGGTAAGAAAGCCAGAAGAAAGAAGCTTATAGGCCAAAATGTGACTGTTTGTAATTAATGAAGGCTCTAAAATGCCAGTCTGCAATCAGGATCAATAAAACATGGTTAAACTTGGACAGAGGTGAAGAGCAGGTTCATTTAATGCAAATGTGGGAACCGCTTATTATTTTATCTCATATTCTCATAATTGTTTCCTGGCAATGTGAGTGAATAGCTATAGTGATATCAAAATAACGTCTAGTGGTACCAGAACTGTTTGCTACATAAACATAATCCAAGCATGGGTTAGCTAATGTATTAATTATTGTATTGTATTGATTATTATTGTATTAATCTCTGAAATAATGGCTTTGTTTATCAATACTAGTTCAAAATCCTTTTTACATTTGAGAAGCAAATGTCGGAATTCCTCAAACGTAGTCATAAGACCACTAAAATGTCCTATGAAAATCATTCCCATGAACTTGATATATATGTCCAAAGAGATATCAGATTATATGAGTCTTCTAATTCTCTTGCTACATGTAATTATCTGCAATATGCACTTCTTTAATTGATGGGAATTAATCTAGAAGAAAGAGAAGGGTCAGAAATTACATGACATGTTATTTTCTTCTTTCACTGCACTATCCTTAAGAATTTTAGTTCCAGTTCATTTGAGACTGACATTAACGCCATTAAAAAGCAATGTAACTATTATTTTAGAACAGTGTACATGAAATTAAAGTAGAAGAATAGTGAAATACATTTGCCAAGGTGGATTGACATTCTGCCATTTTTACTATTTGTCAAGAATATACAAGAAGCTATTTATTTCTAGTTCCAGTTGGTTTTGGTACTTGATCTGTATTTATAGAGAGGGATGCGAGATAGAAAAAGATAATAAATAATTACTTTTCTCAAATGTTAATGTTATACCATTGATAACTGCCGAAAATCTACACCTATTTTCCTGGGAATAAGCCTGATCAAATCAGAGCAAACGTGCATAGAATTACACTGTAAATAGCCAAATCCTTTTTTTTATATTGCAAACATGTATCAAGTTAATAGGGATACTGTTACAGGAGAATATTTATCTACTGATTACTCTGGAATAGTCTATTTAATACATCTAATACTTAATCTATTATGGTGGAGTATATGATTTAGTGAGCTCTCATTTGAGGTCATTTTTTGAGATTAATTTATTTATACTAATTAAAAATGGCTTCAAAGAAATAGGTACTAAGGAGTCAGCTTTGTCAATACTGCCTTAGTAAGGGTGGAAGAATAAATGCATAGTTGTAGGGGGAAATCTCATATGCAGGCATAATGTTTCCTTGTTTTGAAGCTACTTTTGGGATTAAAGAAACAAGCTATTGCATTTTGCCTCTTTGTTAACCTAACCAGTTATGATAAAACTTTCAGCCAGTGCCAACTGACAGACCCAACTTTAAGAGATGGCATTTTGGGGCTTACAGCTTTTGTTTTGCTGTAACAGCTTAGTAGAAGTATAAAGGTTTAATCTGTACCTTGCCCACTCCTGGAGTATCTTTCACCTTGCTGACTGCCCTTAATAAACAAGGTGGAGCTGGTGGAGGTGAGGTCTGTAAGATCATGCTGAATTTCGTGGCAAATAGATGAGATTCAGAAACGGAGGATGCTGAGGGTCTGTGCTTCTTCTTTTTGGATGACAGATTCAACTTCTGAGCAGCTCTGTAAGAGGAAAAAGAAAGTGAAATGAAGATGCTATAAAATAATTAATGAAATCTCCACCTTGTTGCTAAGTGATGTCAGCTACAAAACTGCCTATAAAAGTGACTGTTTTGTGTTTATTGCATGAATCAATCTTAATTAAAACAGGCAAAAATTTAGAAATGGTTAAATTTGTACATGGTACTTTTTTATTATATAGCTCTTCAGGTAAGAATACAGGCCTTGTTCTAGCCAATCAAAAAAATAAATACAGCATTTAAATAGGAATTAATATTAGAAAATTCTGTTTCAGAATGGATATTTGGTTCACAACATATTTTTGTTGTGGGTGTCATGTAAATACATGTGAAATATTTGGATATAAAGAACAATTATGATTATATTATGTTAATTTCTATTACAGTGCCCAAGGGAAATCAACAACATATAAAGAACTTGCACCAAGATATTTTGAACTCAAAACAACATGTAGTCTGTTTCCTGTTATGCAGGGGGAGAGAAAAAAAGGGAGATGTAGAGATGTATGCATGCAGCTGAGAATCAAACATACAAGCAACAACTCAGAAAGTTAAACAAACTGCACTTTGATTTAAGTACTGAGAACTCAAATTTCTTATACTTCAATATACTGTATATACAGACATTTCCTGTATTCAAATTTAGGACATCACTACAATCCAACTTCCAAATATACGGCTACAATTTTCAATTTGCTGTATCTAGCACATGAGAATGGCTTTAATACGGAAAAAATATTTTAGAAAGTTTTTCTCCTGCAATGTTGTCATTGTAATTACACTATATGCACACAAAGAGCAGATAAAGTTATAAGTTCCTTAGATGTCTCCATGGTTGGACAGACTGGAACTCTGAATTCTCTTTTTTAAAGAGTCTGGTGTACTTTTATTTTATATATATTTTAAAATTCCACAAATTTGACTTGCCATTATACAACTAATGTGTGCGAACAAGTATAGACCAATTACCACATGAATGTCTCCAAAGTGTTCTCTTTAGCAGCTGAAAAAAATGTTTTGAGATGATCTCTCTGGATTACCATTAACTCCTCCTTCTCCTCCTCTATGTTCTCCAGTCCAATTGGAAGATCACAGTGAATCTTAGATCTTGATTGGTTCAAACTTAATATGCATTTAATGGAGCTCCTTGTAATTAGATAGATTCATTTAATATACATTGAACTAATTCCATGGGGAAGCCAATGAGGCCAAGAAAGGACAGCTTGCCAAGGGTAAAGGATCAAAGACTCGCAAAGATAAGAGTGAAGAAAGATAGTGAGAGAAATGCTACTTAGTGATTTAAAAAGAACAATGACGTCAATGGATTTCATCTCACTTCAACAAAGAAACTGTGATCTTAGAGAATTAGAACAAGGCACTGAAGGCATGGTGGTCAAAGATGCTAGGTGTACAGCAGAAGGATGACAAGCTGCTCACATATGTCTTGCTCTGAAAAACCACTTGCTACCAAAATAGAATTTGGGAGGAATGGGTTTGTAAGACTGGGAACTGAATTTAGTATGCATTTAAATGTTATCTCCTGTCGCTTTTGCTGTAGTAGAGTCAGCTGTTGGTATTTTCTCAAGTAACCATTCCTGCCTTACTCTGAGGAATAATCTTCTCACAGACAGATGCATTGGGCCTGGCTAGCCCATGTAATACAAGCTGGACACCAGAAATCATCAAGTGCTGTCCGGTACAAGGAGTGACTTTACAACCAGAGTATTTACGAAGTATGGGTTTGAAAACGAATCAGCTAAGAACTTGAATATTTCTTGGCAAATGCCCATGCTTTCTTTAAACAGCTTTCCTTATCCTGGGCCTACGGAATTTGGTGAAGGCCACAAGAGTATCTTGTTGATGTTCCCTGGGCTATAAAGTATCTTTAGTCCTTGTCTATCTTGCTCCATTGTTTATACACTTTTACTCTCCAAATTGTTATTCAATTGTCCATTTTTCAATTCTGTGGTTTTAATTAATGTTTACCAAAAATAAATGTTCTATATAAAAGATAAACATATAGCTCTTCTGAGTACACTCTGAAAGCCTTTGCTGCATATTTTTAAGCTTTTGTGTCAATTAATTTTTAAGAATGGCAACATCTTAATTTATGTCAACATAAATTAAGGCAGATTCTTTAGCATATCTACAGTTTATACCCAAATTATTTCTGTTATTAAATTTGGTTAGATGCTTTTACAGTGCTTTCTATCCTGTTTATTTTCCCAAATATTCTGACACTTTGTTGTTTTGCTACTTTAATTAATATTTAATTTTTTAAAAAAATACTTATTGAACCAAAATATCCATTGCTGACATTTTTTTCTTAAAGAATTAGAAACATTGTTGGAAAATAAATGGTCTTTTCAAAACCTTAGAATGATATGTCATTTTGACAGTACTAACCTTTCAAACTAGTAATCTGAAATAAAATGCTATTAGAAATAAAATGTTAACATTGACATAAAACTGCTAGGGAAGGTTGTCTGTCAGTTTGGGGCAGATATCGTCAATATGCTAACTATACTCAAATTAATATTATCATGCCAAATTGGGGGTGTAATGAAAGTTCTGACCTGGAATCTGGAGAGCTTATATGGATGAAATTAATGAATTAAATCTGTGCTAGATGGCGCTGCTGTTTGTCAGTAAATGATCTGCCTCAATTCTGGTTCCAATACTAACTTTCCACATAATCATACACCTTCTAAAAGGACACATTCGTATTTTGGGATCCTGGTGGAATCTCAGCTTATGCTAGTGAAGCAAGGGGAAGCTGTGGTCTTTGTCCAGCTTCACCTGATAAAGGAGAATATTTGAGGCTCGGGGTTGAAATGAGAGGTCCTTGGTGCTCTCTGAGCTTGGTTGTTTTCTTGCACATGTTTCATTACCGAATGAAATGTTTTCATCTGCAAGAAAACAACCAAGTTCAGAGGACCCCCTCATTTCAGCTGATGGACCTGACAACAGTAGCCCATGCTCTCTTCCCTTTGCAACTATACTATTGCAACACATTCTTCCTAAAGCTGCCTTTAGATTACCCAGAAACTATGACTAGTCCAAAATCTGGACTAGTAACCCTTCAGCTAACTGGAGTTAGATTTAGACAGGGATTCATCCAATGCTATGGACACTACACTAGTTACTATTTTCATAATGGTACAATTCAAAATGCTTCTGATTATCTTTAAAGCCTACATAGTTTAGTTTCTGGATACTCATAGAATCATCTTTGCCAACAAGATTTGTTCCAGACCATCCATTATTTGAACAGGGACTCCTGAGGGGTCCCATTCTACAGGACGTGACAGGGCAGGAACTCAACAGCATGCCTTTTTAGTGACTTCTCCCATTCTGGGGAACACATTGATTCCTGAAATCCTGGCTTTTAGGAAAGCTCTTAAGGGCTCATTATTCCTTAAGGGTGTTTGAAATTTGATTACCTAGAAAAACCACTAAAACATTCAGTTCTGGATATTCAGTTCTTCTATATTAGAAATCTACTTACTCATGAACTACTTACTTCTCAGATTTCTTTAAAAACCAAAATGGAAATTTCCATTATCTTTAAAAGTAGAATTGTAGAGTTAAATTATGTAGGAAAATTGTGCACATGCACTGAATATTGGTCTGACCAGGTTTAACAGTAAATTCATTATAATACAGAGCTAGATGTGTCATGCATGTATTGTTACCAAAAGAGAACAATGCTATGATTCTTGATATTGAGGAACAATTAAAAAAAATTAATCAAAGTAACAATTTACTCAACTCTGAGTTGACACTTCTGACAAAAATACACATTTGGGGTACATTTTGGTTTTGTGGGGAGGCTGACTCAAATATACCATGTGAGCAGGTTATACAGTTAGTTAAAGCCGCTCTTTTCCAAGATTGCTAGTTAATTCAATGTAATACTATGCATGACTACTCAGAGTTAAGTGCTGCTATGAATTCAGTAGAATTTACTTCCTATAAAATATATTTAGACTGCAATCTTAGCCCAGGCAATCAAAGGAAAGAAAATTAAGAGTTTATGCATAGTGAAGATCCCACTGAGTGAGATTAATCACACCTGAATTCCTCAATTTAATTTGAGAATGTAACTTTCTTCAAACGGCAAAGGATTTGCAGCGCAGTGATCCAAGACACAACTGAATATAATTTTAGTTTCTGCTTGCATCTGTGTTTTTGTCTGTATGTTTATATGCCTCCACATACAGTATCTCCATGAAAACCTATGAGCTTGCCTCTTCAAAGCCAAATAAATCCTTAGTGCTTGCTGTTCTACTTTTAATCATAAACTCAATTTCATTAAAATAATACAGCTATTCAAGTTATACCTTTGGAACTATTTCAGTATATTCCTTGGGTGATTTCAGCCACTCTTTTATAGTACTGTACCTGTTAACTAAACTCAACTGGAAGTAATATAGTCATAAAGCAAATCATTGTAATACCTTTATATACAATTATTACTCACAGTCAGGACCAATTCATAATTTAATACAAAATTTGCCCCAGCATTGCAAATTTTGAAAACCCTTTGTTAAATAACTAATTAAATCAGTGGGGATTTTTCCCTAATTGGAAACACTGATTTATCTTGCAGTCCAATCAGCTTAGTTTCAGTGTAGCTTTCTCCCCACCCTCCCAGCTCTAGTTCATTTTTAAAAAAGCAAGGAATTTTTTTGCATTTTCCCTTTTACATATAACAAGTTGCTATTATGCGCTTTGGAGTTGGAAGAAGAATTCTTGAAAAATATTACTAAAGATACCCCATAAAGTTTCAAAGGATAAAATATAAAGTGAAAAAACTGAACCTTCTATATAAGTTGAAAAGGATAATAAGTATTCATGAAGCACAAGTAAAATGTTCAACAGTTTGATATATGCCTAACTTTTTCCCTTTATTATTAATTTTTTTCAGTCTTTCACCAGGACAATAAATTGAAGAAATTTCTGAAATATAGGAATTGAGTTGCAGCAATTTGGACTAGTTT